GAGGAAGTTCTTGTGGCGGCCTCCCTATTCCCTCCATTGCCCTCCACACTCCTTGGGGTACATATAACTCTTGCCCACCTATGTCCAGTCCTGCAGTGCCACTACCACCCAAAGCCTCCCACATGACGGTAGACAAAAATGTCCTTTCGCCTCCTCCACCCCCACCCCCTCCACCCCCACCCCCTCCACCTCCACCAGTAGAGCTGCAGGAGGCCATGGCAGACGCCGGGGAAGGCTTCCAGGAGGTGCTCTCCTTGACCGAGAGCCCTGTCCCACAGCGGTCTGATAAGTTTGTAAAGAAAAACCGCAAGCGAGTGGATGGGCGCGCCGAGGAGGCTAACGTGCCGCCTTTGGCTGAAGGGAGCAAGTCGAAAAAGGAGAGCAGAGCTTTGGGTGATTTCAATTCCCTTATCTCTAGTCCAAGGCTGGGAGGGAGGGACAAGAAGAAGCTGAAGGGACAGAAAGAGCAGCAGCTGAAGGCCAAGAAGCTGAGTAAGGGCACTGCCAACAGTGAGTTCCAAGACAGTTCAGAGAGTGAGCCAGAGCTCTTCATCAGCGGAGATGAGCTGCTCAATCAGTGCCAGAGTGGTAAGAAGGGCTGGAAGAGTAAGAGGAACCTGAGGGCTGCCAATGAGCTGGACGAGATAAAGTGTCGTAAGGCCAACGAGAAGGAGGACCGAGGGCTGGGCAGCCAGGGCTTCGTGTACGTCATGGCGAACAAGCAGCCACTGTGGAATGAAGCCACACAGGTGTACCAGCTGGACTTTGGTGGGCGCGTCACACAGGAGTCTGCCAAGAACTTTCAAATTGAACTGGAGGGCAGACAGGTAAGAGAGCTCTTTGTTCAAAAAATATCCCTCTCTCCATGATATTCATATGTATAGTTATTTGAAACACTGGGATGTCTGTATTCATTGTTTTCTTTGTTTGTTTCTCTACACAGGTGATGCAGTTCGGCAGGATAGATGGCAATGCCTATATCCTGGACTTTCAGTATCCCTTCTCTGCTGTGCAGGCCTTTGCAGTGGCTTTAGCCAATGTTACTCAACGCCTCAAATGAGATGTCCCCTCGCTACTTACCCTGAGTTATATCTGGGATTTAAATGCAATCTGTTGGAGGGGCACAGTTGTTTCATTTGAGATTAATAATCTTTGATTTAGAGAGGAGACTTAAATCCGCCCGGGTTCATAGAAAGAGATACAATCATTCTGCACTACACAATGCTGCCACTAGAGTTGGTGCAATAAGCATTGGCTGCATTTGCCAAGGTAGCCCTCAGTCAGTGGCTCCTTGCAATGCATGTAGGGCCAAAGAGCTGAGCTTTGGTAATCATCATGCAAATAAATGCTGCTTTAGCTAGTAGAAGCTTATAGACATGATAACCTGTAAACAGAGAGGAATTGTCGAGGTGCAGTTTTCAAAAGAAGCAGCAGTAATACTTGAAAACCACACTCTGGAGATCACAGTTGTTTATTTCCCGCACAGGTACTACTGGGCACTGAAATCCATTGCTGTACAAACTTCAGTGAAACAGTTACCACTTTATTATACTGCTTTTGCTTTTAGGATTTTATTAAATGGCAGAGGGTAGGAGGGTCTTTTTGTTTTTACTCTCTGCCATTCCTTTTGTTACTATCTCAATACTATCTTGGCTGGAATTGAGGCTTAGATATATGCATCATTTAGGAGCACTACTAAGAGGTCACACTTTTCACTGTAGTAAAAGGTGTGTCACTGTTAAACACTTGGGAAGGTCGAGGAGTAAATATAGTTGAGTTGAACTGCAGTCGTTTCCACATAGTTTCCTGGGACTTTGAAGGAAGAAGAAATGTTACTCTGCTACATGGATTAATTTAAATGTAATGTACATTTTGTTCTTTATCTATTCAGATATGAATTTTAACGTTATTGTCATTGTTTGTGATATACAATCTTCATACCCTGTCAACATTGTTTTCAACTTACCTGTTTTATTTGGGAGAACGAGGGGCTGAATTTGAATATTGCTGTGTAGTCCAGAGTAATTCAGGAGGGAGGGGTGTACTGAATAGCTTTGACTGATATATCCTGTACTTAGGGAAATACCTACATACGGTGACATGGTCGTAAAAGAAGTCGCCAGGTCTGGATTGAACAACTTAACCTCTGGCATGAAGTGATTTGTCACCTGCTGCCACTTCTGTGAAGTGAGTGTGTAGTTTGCTCCTGCTCTTCAAATACCACACTAAACATACAAGCAAGGTACAGGAATTATTTTTGTATATTTCACCTATGCCATTTCATACTCTTTTCAGAAGTCATGTAAATACATATCAGTCATGATGTAAATGTTGTAAAGAGACTTGGGTGACTTTGACAGATGTCTGTTTACGCCTGTCTCCACTGTGTTTTAAGTGTCATTTCAGGTGTGGAGCGTCGCTGTAGTACTGTTCAGCTCAACAGCTACAACCACAAACAAAAACAAGTTAAGACTTAAGCTGAAATCATTGTCACTGAATCTTTGAAGTCAGAACTCCAATGAAGGATGAAGCTATTGAAATCTGTTCATTTAGAAAGCTGACACTAATATCTGAAAAGCTGTTTTTTTCTTTCTTTAAGGCAGTCACGCTTGTCTTTGTGTTGAACTAAGAACACAGAGCAGGATATGAGCATGGGCAGTCAATTATTAGCCACATTGCCAAAATAAATAAGTAGATTTGATCAATTTAAAGGAATACTGCATCCTCAAACTGATCATTTGTATACAACTCAAACATGTTGACCTTGAAACCTTGAAGAAACAACAAATTGTAAATCGTAATGAGTAATTGATGTACAAATTATCGTTACGGGGTTGAAATATTCCTTAAAGCTGGTAGCCAAACAAAAAAGGGCAGTAATATTGGGTAGGTGAGATCATATTCACCTTTAACCTTTGTGCCAAAATATCCATTTGCTAAGATTTATAGTAAAAAAATGGGCCTAGAAGAAAGTGTAACTTGATATAAAGAAATGTATAACTTTGGACCAGCTATGTTTTGGTCTTTGAATTGATGAGATTATTAAATTCTTTAGTGTGAGCTTTATTTATCACAACCAGATGCATGTCTGTCAGAGGGGGTGGGGGCTGTAGGGATGGGGGATACAATAAATAATTAAAAAAGTCTCTTCTGATCCAAAAAAAAGAACATGAGCATGTCATGAAGAAAATATCCATTTTCTGTGTTAGTTGTGCAATATCTTCTTGGGAGGGGGGGGTCCTTTGTTATCACTTTTGACCACAGTTTGATACCATTCTTTTAGTTCAGCATCTCAGTTGCATTTTATTTATGAGATTATTTCCTGAAGGAGATATAGTATCTATACATACTGTATATTGTGGAGTTTTCTGAACATTTCTTTGTGTTGATAAAACAGGTTGTTACAAGTGTAGCCCAGACGATGAGATGGGGTTTGATCGGGGGCGGGGTTTGGGTTCGGGCAAGTTTTCTGTGTTTTGTGAAGTTTGCTTTGGATGGAAAGATGTGAATGAGTAAGTGCCCAGTTTAGTGTAGTTGGTAGACTAGTTATGTAGAGTGTAACTGTTAAGTCAAGGTGTGTCTGTATTCAACTGTGCAGTCTACCAATCCCATCAGTGTTAAATCTATTATCTTTAAACGTGTGTGTTCATGGCTTCTTACACATACACACACACATCATTCACTCACAAGTGTAAACCACTGAGTTCATGTTCAGAATTGCCTCTATGGACTTAGGTTAAGGATTCACTTCAAACGGATTTTACGAGATGACATGTTGTAGATATTGTAGGATTTGGCTTTTCTTTAGAAAAGGTATGTGCTTTGTATTTGTAGTTGTAGACTTAAATGACAAAAACACTTGAAAAGAATCTGAGTCTGATTTGGTGACTGAACGTTTATAGTGAATGGATAGTAAGGCATGCCATGTAAATTATTTTATAATTGTATATGTCACGCATCTTTTGAATAAAACGTCATTGTTTCAGAAATAAGATGTGTCCTGTCTCCTAAATATATTCAGTATTATGTTGAATTTAGAGATGGGATTATTGTTACCCTGCCAGCTATTGGACTAGAGTTTACACAAGGTGGCTCTATTGTGTCAAACAGCAAATATTATGATATTTCATAACAGGAAAAGCACAGGTGGAGGACAAAGTCAACTAAGCTCAATTTCCCAAATATATTCTGGCCATGTCAGACAAACCTGACAACGTTGACTCGGGTAAATTACTTTTTCACAATTATGTTTTATGGTTTTAAGTCATAGTCATACTTGTGAATAGGTGTCTAATGTCTCACAATTTAGCTTTCTATAGCTATTTATGAAAGAAACTCATAATTACAAAAAAATGTAAGAATTGTATGTTTTTGCTATGATTAACAATCATTTACTGGGTTTCTACTGCTGCCCAGGTACTGCTATGTTCTGCATACGTTTCTGTGTTTTACTTTGACTGTAATTGATATGCATTACATCATTATTATTTAAAAAAATTAGCTACCTTGCTTAGTCTGGCCTATTTATGCACTGTCTTCAAGAATGAACCTGAATAAATACAAACAAAATAACTAAATTAGGGATCTCCACACCCCGACTAGACACTCATTTGGGTTTAGATATTTAAAAAAATACTCTATGCTTTTATATTTGGAGTATGTAAAGGTAGTAACTAATGGTTGGTTATAGTCAAAAGGCAGCTTGTGAGTGGAGGACTAATATATTTGGATAAACCCATGATAAAGATGTGTGTGTGGTGTCCATAGACTGTATATATAAAGGTGGTGTCTCTGTCCGCGGTGCTGAACTCTGATCACGTGATCCTCCTCCCGTGTGTTTCAGCCCCCTCTTCTCCTTTTTTTTCTTCCTTTGAACCGACACAAACAAAAAAGCTTCGGCTGCATTTTCAATTAAACGGCGTTAACAAAACAGCCATCATTGTGCTGCTGTCCACAGGCCTCGTTTTGTTTTCCCCTTCGCCATTTTCATCCGGCAGACGGCTCGGTGTCTCATAATGGACGCAGACTACTCGTCCAGCCTGGAGAACCCTCTGTACAGCGAGCTGAAGTACTTCTGCAGGAAGATCCAGGAGGCCTACCAGGAGCTGAAGGAGGACCTGACACCTTTCCGGGATGATCGCTTTTACAGGTGGCTCTCCTGTTTATCTACTCACACAATGGAGGATCAATTTCCCCCTGCATTACAGAAGCATTGATATGTTTGGCTTTGTATGCTGTGACATAGGATTTAACAACCTGCACCTTGCAACAATAAGCCTATATATTGTCAGCCTCTCTGGTGATTATGGTTGATGCTAACGAGATGTGTTCATTACTCATGTGGATTTATATACATTTCATAATCTCGTTAGTTTATATTTTAGATGGTGCAGACTAAAGGGAAATAGCAGTCCTCAAATGTATTCATTAAAAAAAGGTAAATAGGTGAATACTTTGCATTTGACACATTCTCAGTATCAGTATTAATATTTGACAATCTCACATTTATAAGGGATCTTTGGATTCCTATCAATGGCAACAAGTGTTGTCTTGTTGAAGGGATTGTATCTGCATTAGCTGGTGGTGAATAATAATAGGCCTTTTTTAAATGTTTCATGTTGTCGTTAAAATTTAAAGACAATAATTAAAATAATTAAAGTAACTAGCTCATTAATTATTTTTTGTTTTTTGCTTGACGTTAACGTATGACGTGGTCGTATATTACGCATGCCTCGATGCCTGTGACTCTCACGTAGGGGACGTTCATCTCATTTTGTCAAAAGATATTTAAAAAGAAATGTTCCATCCTGTGCCTCAACTTCTCTGACATTATCAGCAGTAGGGAAAAATTAAAGGACGTTTCCAAATGTAAAATTAACATTTTATATGGTTGGATGACTTAAGCCATGACAGAACATTTGAGCAACATACATCATAAATCTGTATATGTTTACAACTAGCCAAATACCCCTTACTGATTTGTCACAGACTTTGTAAACATACGTTTTCAAAAATAATTTACCAATAAAAAAAGCTATAACATGTGTAACGGTAATGTATTGCCTGTAAAGTATAATAATAATAATACATTGGATTTTTATAGCGCTTTTCCTATTGCTCAAATAAAATGTACATAAAATCAGAACAGAAACAGTACAAAAGAGTTTGAAAACTAGAGTGAATAAGTGAGTTTTGTATGCAAATCTAGATAACAAACTGTACCTCAAATATTCCTTTTATATTTTAGCCATTTTTTAGTTTTTTATGGCTTTTTATGGTCTCTGCATGTCATATCATGTTAAATATAGGATATTTTTTGTTTTACCAATCTTTGAAGGGACATGCACAATATGTTCAATGAAAATACGACCATCGACATACTACAAAGACTTAAAACGTATTTTTGCAGAATAAAACTAGTCTCAGCCACAAATACAAATATCACCTTTATATCTAACCTTAGAGCAGCAGTTTTAAATCACGACCGCTTTTTAGCTAATCCCTCGGAAAAGGAAAGCCCCTGTCACGTGATCCAGGCCCCTCCCCTTTGATGACGTTGCATTCCAGTAGTCCAGGTCGTCGCAGGCTGATGTTGATACACGGACTACACGGATGTGGATTCACTACCACATTTTAACGTTTTTTCTCGGTATTGAGACTGCGAACCGACAGACATGGAGCTGTAAGTGTACGCTTTGTTTAGCGGATACTCCCTGGATTTGTCCCCGGTGTTTTATATGTGTGGGAGACCCTGTAAGACACCACTATGTAGCTGTTTTCTGACATCTGTTACTGCTAGCATAAACTAGCATGGACGCTAGCAGTGTTGACAGATCCGAACCTTAATCCTTAATTAACCACAAAATAAACGTTATCTTTTGTGTGTTCTCTAACCAATGTCTTCCTATGACAGATTGGCCCCCATGCGTCTCTACACCCTGTCCAAAAGACATTTTGTCTTGGTCTTCGTTTGCTTTCTGATCTGCTTTGGCCTCACAGTCTTTATTGGGATTACAGGTATGTCTAATATAAACATGTCTGCAATACTGTGGCCCAAGCTGGGTGTTGGTCATAAGTCATTTTAACACAGGTTTTTAGATACAAGAAAGAAAGTCCTTCTGCAATCAAGCATGATGGCACAATCAAAATTGTATTTTATTTGTATCACTACAATGCTTATTTCTGGATAGTCCAGTAGTTCAGATTGTAAAGAATGTGTCATTTATATGTGTTGCTTTTTTGTGTAGGTCCTAGGACTATTGCTGAGCAAGAGCACAATGGTGATCAGTTGGTTCTCAAAAACTTCTCAGTTAAGGTAAGGTAAAAGTCAATCTGATTTATTGGGATGTTTTGTTATCATTACATACATTGTTGTTTACCCTGGGATTCATTCCGCTTTAAATTAATTTGATGCTTTGTTTTGTGTTAAAAGAAAACCTTTATGTTTTGTGTTATGTTATAAGCAAACACGTCTAACTACTGGGATAACATGTGTAACATCCTGTGTGTTCAATGACTTGAGTATCCTTTTTAATGATGTCATTCATTGTATGTTTACAGACCGGGCCCTTCAATCTAGTTTCTTCTCCGCTCACCACCTACAACCAGCAGCTATGGCTCACCTGTTTGATACAGGCTGAACACAGCAATAGTAAGAATGAGCTACAGATGTTTAACATGAGCGTAAAATGTCGAGCACATATGACACCTCAAAAAGCTTCCTTTTTATTTTGCAAGCACGACTGGCTTTTGTTAACAACAACATGTTCTGTCGTCTGTGTCAGTGGGAGACTTCCAGCAGCCTTTCGAAATCAATGTGGAGCTGAAGGGAGTGATGCAGGACGCCAGCGTGATTCACATCAACACCGCGCACCAGAAATCACGAACGCTACACTGCGGGGCTGTAAGTGACAATCAGGAAACCCAGCCTCCTTCCTCTCTCACAGTATGCTCGTTTATCATTAATCATTTAGTCAAGCAGCAGCAGAGCGAGTTTATGAAATGTCATCTATGATATGAAATGAGGTTGCAATATAGTGGTGAGTGCTGTTGGATATAGAGTGAACATACAGTTAGATTGTTGATTTGAAAGGGAAGTGACGCAGCGTTTCCTCTCTCCTTACAGAAATGTGATGAGATCATTGTGCTCCATCTTGGCTATCTGAACTACACCCAGTACCAGGTTATGGTCAGCTTCAAAGGCCTTGAAAATATCACGTATGAAATCAAGGTCAAGTTTTCGGTAAGTGAAAGACACTGACAGGATTCTTCTTCCAGCTCATGAAAACAAATTCTGTGATATTGTTTTTTTGTTTCTGCATAATATTTGATATACTTTTACTTTCATTAAGGCTTGAGCTCACATTTCAACACAGCCTCTTTTACTCTTCTGTTTCTTTCTCAGTGGAAAACGTATAACCCCACCTTCTCGCAAGTGGAGATCTGGTTCCGGTTTGTCTTTGTGGTGTTAACCTTCATGGTGACGGTAAGAGCAAATATGAATTTTTATTTATATCACATAACCAATATTCCAGGCCACCAAAGCGTGGCAATGAATGATAACTAACTAATGTAAATCAGTGACTTAAATCAATGTTTGCCTAATGCAGGACTAACATTTCTTTCTCTGAATGTTGCAGTGTATGTTTGCACACTCACTGAGGAAGTTTTCTATGAGGGATTGGGGCATAGAGCAGAAGTGGATGTCTGTCCTGCTCCCTTTGCTGCTACTCTACAACGGTGAGCTTCAGCATTCATATTTTACCCTTAAAACACAACCTGTACAATCTGGCTTCCCCATTATATCACCTTTGTAATCATTACAACTGCAACTTTTAATCTGCACAACCAAAGAGCTGTGCTTTAATGTGTCAACTGCAAATGTTACTTACTCGGTCTTATACATGTAAAAAAAGTGGAGTGCGTTGCTAATTCTGTTTTGTTGTTTGTGTTGTTCAGATCCATTTTTCCCGCTGTCTTTCCTGGTGAACAGCTGGTTTCCAGGAACGTTAGACGCTTTCTTCCAGGCTCTGTTCCTGTGCTCCCTGCTGCTCTTCTGGCTCTGTGTTTATCATGGCATCAGGGTTCAGGTGGGTCCAGTACTACACCTTTGGTTTTAAAAGGTATATAAGGTTACATCTATCCTATATATTTTTGTGGTTCTCTTTAGGAAGCTGTCATTAATTCACCTTTTATCCAGGTTAAATCCACATGTTTACAATACGCTTTCTAGGCATTTTTTAACTATATATTTTTTACTGGATAAAGGTTTAGTTGAATGCTTTTATTTTAAGTTATCAGGTAGATAAGATAAGATAAGATAAGATGGTACTTTATTGATCCTAATTTGGGAAATTGTTTCCCAACAACAAGTAACAAGCTGACCAAACCTTAGCAACAGAAACACATACATTTTCATCATGAAATTGTTTTATTCAGTGTTTGATCATTTAGAGCAGCTCTTTTGTTTGTTTTTGTATATAATTTGGCAGACAGCAAAGACAAAAACTCCCATGATCCCCGGCTACTTCACCCCCAAACTTCTATTGTTATTGTTTGGTTTGAGTGACTCCTAGTGGCAGAAAATGACACATTGTGCATATAAGGGTTTCCTCTAATTTTAAGCTTTTTAAAATCTTATTTCATGTGTTGATGTTGTTTCCACAGGGTGAGAGGAAATGTCTGACCTTCTACCTGCCTAAGCTGGTCATTGTAGGTCTCCTGTGGCTCTCAGCTGTCACACTGGGCATATGGCAAACGTAAGTCCGACCCAACTGTCCACTAACAGCCTGATTAATAATGTTAATCACAACAGGACTGAATAAATCTACTCCCTTCCTCTGTATTTGCAGGGTCAATGAACTCCAAGACCCTACCTATCAGTATAAAGTGGACATAGTGAACTTTCAGGTGAGACTCTTTTTTTTAAATGGTTAAGGTTGTGGTACAGGTTTTTTGACAGGACTGTTAGATTTGATACTGCCCACTATCTGCTCCATATAAAGCTCTGTTTTCAATATTCTCATTTGTTTTCATAAAAGACATGTAGGGAATCTTTATACATTTATTTCTCTCTTTCCCAAAATGTATTAATTTTTTTTTAAAGTATTACGATGTCATTGTCTGGCCTCAATCAGCTTCCATAATCACTGAAAAGTGTGGATGGGACTAACCTAATAAACGCACAATGAAGACGCTATTAATTTCACTGTAACTGTGTGGCTGTTAGCGCTGATCTTTGTGGATTGGACCGTTGGGCTAATTTGCCAGAAATGGGACAATTTAACACTGAATGTAAATCGGTTCAAATAGCACAGGAGCATCGATACACTATCTGCTAGGCATTGCAGTTAGGGGTGTATTTCCCTCTTAGCGGCTACTTTTCAGATAATTGTTTTTCTTATTTGTGGTTATGTTTAGCGCCTGCAAAAGCCTTGCATTGCTTTTTGTGAATTCACCCCTCAATGGTTATGTCTTATTTTTCTCAGCAGTTTAATAAAGACCCAATTTATTTCTGCAGGGTATGAAGGTCTTCTTCCTGATTGTAGTTGCCTTCTACATTCTTTACCTGATCTTCCTGGTCGTCAGAGCTTGTTCTGAACTGAAGAACATGCCTTACTCGGGTAACACAGCACGACACATCTGATTTAATCACAGTTATTGCTTTACCATGGTAACATTAACGTGCTGTGTGTTTTCTATCACTAGATCTCCGGCTCCGGTTTTTGACATCGCTGACCTTTGTGGTCCTTGTTATAAGGTACGTTTTTAAGTAAATCCTAAGAGGCCTGTTTAAAAGCCTATTTGTGGTTAATTTGGTTTTAAATGACCGTGTTTCTCTTTGTCCTCCAGCATGGTCATTCTCTACCTGAGGTTTGGTGCCAAGGCTCTCCAAAACAATTTTGTCGCTGCACTGTCTACTCATTACCAGAACTATATCCTTTCCAAAAATATTTTATTTTTAGACAATGACTTCACTTCAATATTCCATGTGAGACACCATGTTGATTATTTAAAAAGTGATAAATGGTTCCTTAACTCCAGACATACCAGCTGAATTTTTATCATTCTATGGTCTACTCAACTTTTACTTGTACACATTGGCTTTTGTGTATTCCCCCTCCAAAAATGCACTTTATGGTTGGTAATACAGCACAATTTAAAACACAGTGGATACGATAATGAATTAAAGGTTGAACCTAACTGATTTTGTTTATTTTCCAGACTCCCAGTTGAAGGATAACCCTGCTTTCTCAATGCTAAATGACTCTGATGATGAAGTAATATACGGGTAAGCATTTGTTTAATTGCTTATTAAATTCTCACCCCCTATAGTTTGGGGGGAAGCATTTGTTGGGAACGTGTATAAACCAGCAGATGTTTTCTTTTTCTTCTGTAAAGAAGTGATTATGAAGACATGCCTTTACAAAACGGACGTGCTATCAAAGCAACCGCCAAGTACCAGGATGAGACTGACAGCGACTGATGGGATCCCTGACTGCCATGTTGCTCCTCTTTTGTGTCCCCGTTGGAAACTATAGGAATAGAAAACAACAAAATATCATGTGTAGGTGTAAATAAGGAGTACTTGCATTGGTGATACAGAATGCTATACTGTAAGTGTACATAACTATATTTTTAAAAGAAGTTCCATGTCTACTGAATGTACTGTACTTTTACTTTAAGTTAGGGCATGTAGCCACTTTTTCCAGTTTGTAAACTCTTTTCCTCCTACCCAGCAGCATTTCTCCACAAGCCAATAGTCGGATATAATCGGGAAAAGTGCCAATATCGATTGGGGATCTTTTTCGGAGAAATCAATGTTATTTTAACGCTTTGTGTTGAACCACTGTTGTCTCCCTATTGCACTGTGTGGTTTTTGCCATTCCTTTCAGCTCTCTGACAATAATGATAATGCATTTCTATGGCCAAAGCGGAGTAAACCTATACTGCTGGTAGAAAGCAAAATAAACGTGTCCCACAGCAGCAGACTCAAACACAACATCAGTGATTTGTGGGGAATAAAAAAGTGCCAAAGCAGTGTTGGCTGTTAACAATCTTTTTTTTATTCCAACATATTGGAAGAGGGAGCCTTATCGCTGGAGTAGGCACTACTTCATTTTTAACACTCTTCCGACTAATTCATGAAAAGCAGCTTTGTAATTGCACTTGCGTAAGAATTTAATTTATTTACTTAAAAGTTAGGACATTGATACTGTATTATCTGACTCCCTGGATGAATGGTGTTTGATGAATTGTGTGGATTTTACACCACTTTATGTAAATTGGCTACTGATTTATCATGAACATTTCTTATCCCAGCATGTACAGTAGTTACAGTATTGGCCAAATATATTAGCTTTCCTAACATTGCTTAGTTTTATATACTTTAAAACTAATCTCTCAATATGTATTCTAATCAAGATGGTGCCTTGTCTTTACATTTCTTCAAAAAATGTTCTGCAGTCTTGAATTTGTAAATGCTTTGACATAAATGTACATTTTTGATTCAAGGTGATTAAGTGATATTGTGGGTTCTGATGTTTTTGCAATTTGTGTCGCTTCAGGAGATAAAAGCTGTACATTTCATGTCACATGTAAATAAAGCAAAGTGTATATACAGCACAGTATTGTTTTAATTAATTGCACTTATATAAAAACACAAGATGTCATTCAAATATTGCCAGCATGTCCGAACATAACAGGCTGGTTCTGAAAAATATATAAAAGCCCAAACATTTCAAACACACAGGTACAGCATTGTATTTGGTTCAGATGGCCAGCCCAAAAACACTGACGATGCAGTACATGGACTTGTTCTCCCATCTCACCGCACAGCTTCCTGTTGGGTGTGATGCACAACAAACTTAGTATGACCTTTACATTTACACATTTATATTTACTGAAAAAATACAGCTTTTGAAAGTTGATCATTTGCAGAAGAGGAAACAATCAATTAAATCAACATCACTATTTTATTTTACCATCTGTAGAGTTGTCCCAGAAGCATGTGCTCGCTGTTTGCAGACCTGTTCCGTTTTTCTGCATGATGATACAGGTAACTGGGAAAACAATACATTATTTTTCAGTACCAACCCCATACAGCCAAGGAACCATCATAATATATTTGTTTTACTGCTGCAGCGTATGTACCAATATATTTGAAAGGCTTCCCCAGCTTGCTGAGTTGACTGAGGCACTGCTCCACTACGCTGGTGGTCCACTGGTTCACTCGGCTGTGCTGGTAGGCATTTGCTCCTATGGTGGCTTCCACTGACTACAGAGACAATTTAAACATCATAGTATTAATTAGGAACTGACCAACCCAGTGGTGGGAAGTGATTAGGTTAATTTCCTCCTATTTGACTGTACAGCACTTTGGTCTGGAGGTTTTAAAGTGCTTTATAAATAAAGCTGTATTGTATTTATTTACTGCTACTTTAAACTTTAATCTACTACAAATCAGAGGGGAAATATTGTATTTTTTACTACATTTATTTGATAACCCAGCACTAGTATATAAATGGTCTACCATACCATTGCAATAATACTGAAATACGACACAGAGTTTTATGAAAAAATGCATAAATACAATTTATTCAGAATATTGAAATACATTAAACATTAAACTGCTAATTATACTAGATAATGACGTTGCATAGCAACCGTTACTGTGTCCTTGGCAACCAACAGTTTGCTTAACACAAGGTAGAAATGTTAGCGTTAACCGATACAATCTATATTTTGTGGATGAATCAAAAGCCAGTGTGTCTTTTTGCTTACCTCTTTTATTATTTTGCTCACTTCATCAACGACGAACGCAGTCTGTCGGGTTAAAAACAAAACAGTTCAGTTTAAGCTAGCCTGTCGACATGGCTGTCTTCTACTTTCTGGACAAACAATTAACAATATAAGTTACAACGTAGGACACCCTTCAAAGAATGTTATGGTAGATGAAATAGTGTTTTCTATTTGATTAATATATATGTAATTACTAGTCAAGTTATTACGAACCCACCTCCTCTTCTGTCTGATCCTCGTCCATTGCTACTGCCTCCGAAATGAACCAAGTTTTCTTTAGTAATATGACTTCCGGTCGTGTTTTTTCAGAATAAGAGCATCCACCGAAGCCCATAAGTGATTTGTGTTAATTGGAAACAGTGGTGGAAGAAGTATTCAGCATCTTTACTTGAGTAAAAAAGTACCAATACATTTATCTAAAAAAATCTCCATTACAAGTTAAAGTCCTGCAAATATCACGTAAGTAAATGTACAGAAGTATTATCAGCAAAGTGTACTGAAAGTACAAAAAGTGAAAGTAGTAATTCTGCAGAAAGTTGAACACGAAGGATGTGTGACAACATTACATTTCAACATTTTCGAGGATAAAACGTATTAAATTACTAAATGGCCGTACAACTATGTATAATGGGAGGCTGTGGCTCAGTAGATAGTGTGCTGGACTTCGAATCAGGGGATAACAAGTTCAAGTCCCACTGCAGTCAGCATGTCTTTGTGTCCCTGGGCAAGACACTTCACCTCAAATTGCTCCTGTGAGGATTGCCCACAGTACTGAATGTATGTAAGTCGCTTTGGATAAAAGCGTCTAACAAATGACATGTAATGTAATGTATAGTTTAGCACTTACTGATCGTTTGGATAAATGGTCAGTCTACTTAATGTCCAATCTAATAAACATTGCCCTCTTCAAGTGACCAGAGTTTCTTCAATCGATGAGAATTCATGAAACAACAGTCTTTTGTAAAACTGAGAGAAACACACAATTTACTTTTAAATGTTTGGTATTTGAACAATATAAATGACTTTCCGGCCCCATCAAAGCACTAAAACTTCTTTAGAACTCAACTTTTTTTATGAGTAATTGCTGCAGCCCCACTGAAGCCCAAAACATGTCTCATTTAAAAAAATAGGTGATTTTAAGTTTTATTTGAATCACCAGTAAATATTAAAAGCGTTGATAAACAAATCCTTTGTACGTGCATTCAAAATATCCTTAAACAGGTAAACACCGCCCCTTCTGGTCAGTTTTATAAATTGTTGTCACATGACATTGACGTGACGCAGTTTATAACGTTCCACTTTCTAGCCGTTGATCGACAAGTCTGTCTCCGTCGAGAGGACCGGTTCAGGTAGGAAAATGCTAAAACTAACCAGGCTTTTTTGTATAGCGTATATAAACATTAATCCTCGCAATCCCTCTGTACTACATTTAATGTTGAAGATAATCTTAAAGTGTTTTCTGTCGAGTTATGTTGTATTGCTAACGTGAGCTAAGTGCTAGCTTCACGAGGCCACCTGCTAGCTAAAGTAGCAACTGGCGACATGGGCCGGAGATCTGATAGTGTGAGAAATATTTACATTTTTATGCTACTTTTGCGTCAATTACTCTTGTTCTGTTTGTTTTAAGATGTAATGCCACTAATTAGCGAACACACCTTGCTAATTAAATCTGAAAGGATCGCTAAACTATACAGTTAAGGCTGTCTCCGTGACCTTGGCCCAAAGCAGCTAATGTCACGGTAACTAGCTTATATTTACATACTGCCATTACCATAATCTCACGCTATTGCAGCGAAATAACGTTATGTTTTATCTATCTAATATTGCAGTTAAATGACTTGGTGTGAACTGCAGTCCGCTGGTTCAATATCCCCGCTTATCCTGTCATGAGTCCACACAGGCACATTTAGCTGAATTGGGGGAAAATGTAGGTTTATTTGTGATGCATATACATTTAGAGAACATTTTATCTAAAAAGTAAAATAAATAATAATATCACTGCACTCATACACATAATTCTAACACTTATATATTAAAGGTGGGGTTGGTAATTTTGGAGAAACCAGCTCGAGTGCGCTAAAATTTGAAAATACACAACCGGAAAAAATCTGCCACTTCCTTATAGAGCCCCTCCTCCAACACACACGAACGCGCACTTGACCAATGAGGGCACGAGATAAGTTTGTGCACAGATGGAAAGCTGACAGGCAGGTAGGCCATCCAGTTATTTTAGCCGGGCCGGCTAAAATGATTGGTCGTGCTTTTTACAGTATTACGGCTTCCGCAGATGACATTTTTTTATGGATTTTTTTTGTCAAAGCACTTAAGATATTCATTGCTATCGGGATGTTAAGAGCATTTCATGGAATATAACAAAAAGTGTATCTCGAGCCGGTTTCTCAAACTTACCTACCCCACCTTTAAGTGTTGCTTAAACGGGTTGGCATTAAATGTCTACTCAACTTTCTCAGTTTAAATAGTTTTAAATACAAATACGATTTTCAAAAAAAGGCGAACTAATTTGTATTTACAGTTTTTCCTTCTGCTTTGAAATGGACTCTTATTTTGAAGTTTATCTTTAACCAACTAACCGGATGTTGTGCACGTTTTACTGAGCGCTTGTTTCACGGTGTCCGTGTCATGAGTTTTACAATATCCATGGTGTAATTTTACTATTTCTGTGATATTTAAACGGGTTTAGCACATTTTCTCAGATAATTATTGTGGCACATTTGCCGGTATTGGAATATGTTCTGACTGCAATGCAAAGTGCACGGCGAATTTATGAGCTGCTTAAGTTACCTACTTCAGTTTTGTAGTTCCGTCTCAAGAGGGAGACAGACCTCGTATCTTTGTGGCACTACATCTCAAAGGTTTTAATTCTGCTCCTTGTTATACCACACACACACGACCCCGTCTTTATAAATAGTTATTCTTTGTCTTAAACGTATATTTTGACTGAATAAAGAAACGCTTGTACATATATTAAAGATATAGAAAGCATTTTAAGGTACTCTTTGTTAGGGATGCCTTATTGGTCAAAAGGGCATCACGTGACCAGAAATAGTATAAACTGGCTTAACTACCGTAACATTCTTCAACAAAAGTATGCGATCGTATGCATTCATTATTGGTGAATCTGACTATGACTTAGAAACGCGCGTTTTTCTTTTGTTGCTGTGTTTTTTGTAATTATAAAAAAACAAGTTGAACCGTTTCTGAAAGTAACAGTGCAGAGAATCACCCCTTTCCTGCTGGCCTATTTGCAGTATCGCTTCTCGGCCTTTTGGCTAAGATCAAGTGTAGTATCTGTTCTTATCAGTTTAATATCTGATACGTCCCCTACCCGGGGACCATATATTAAATTGATTTTTGGAATAGGGAGATGGAATAGGGGCTTGCTCCGTCCACTCCACGCATCGACCTGGTATTGCAGTACCTCCAGGAACGGTGCACCCCCTCTAAATGTCTAATATAAAAACACCAAGAGAAGTCCTGAGCATCATGACACCATAAAATGTAATCTAGGAATTGAGGATAAAATGACAACATGTTGAAAGTTACTCGCATGCTTGCGTGACCCAAGGATATTGTACAACTTACTTATTTCAGTGCCCTTTCAATGGTTGAAAACATAATGCATAACATTTTCTGAATAGTAACACTATTTGATTAAATCTGTTTTTCTTTTCTATGGTTCTGCTCATTCCCAAAAAGTAATATTATGTTGCTAAAGTGTTTTCACAGCCTGAGAAACACTGTGTATTTTACTCTATGTATTCATTCTGTAGTGTTAGCATAGAAGCCAATGTTATTACATTAATTAATTGAATGTCTAAAAATTCAATGCAGTCAAATACAATAGTCCTGTAGTAGCTACGCATTTTAAGGTACTTTGGTAGTGATGGCTAATTGTCCAGAATGACATCATGTGTCTAGAAATAACTTTAACTGGCTTCACTATCATAACATTTTCTAACAAAAGTGTCCGGTCGATGCATGTGTTGGTGCTGAATGTTACTATAACATGAAAAAGCGTTTTTCCATTTGTTGCTCTGCTTTTTTGTAATTATAAAAAACAAGTTGCACCGTCACTGAAAGAAACAGTGCAGAGAATCACCCCTTTCCTGCTGGCCTATTTGCAGTATCGCTTCTCGGCCTTTTGGCTAAGATCAAGTGTAGTATCTGTTCTTATCAGTTTAATATCTGATACGTCCCCTACCCGGGGACCATATATTAAATTGATTTTTGGAATAGGGAGATGGAATAGGGGCTTGCTCCGTCCACTCCACGCATCGACCTGGTATTGCAGTACCTCCAGGAACGGTGCACCCCCTCTGCATGTTAAATATAAAAACACTTCTGATAAGTCTTCTTTCCAACTGACATGACTCACTAAATGTTATCTCGGAATTGAAGCTAAAGTCCTATATAATCAAAAGTATTACATCCATGCTCATGTGACACAAGGGCATTGTAAAACGTACGTACTTCATTGGTTGAAAACATAATGTGACCTGCTCCATCGAAATCAGTCGCATTGACCCGAAGACACATTTTGAGTTGTATACACTGTTGGAAAGAGGAGATTCCTAGCTTTCTAATGATATCAGGATTGTTTTTGTACTCCAAATATTAAGCAAAATATGTCACATTATATAATGACTGTCACCGAGTCATCATTTTGAGAAAAAGGCCTTTTTTTTAACACACACTCTTTTTTTTTGTAATTATAAAAAACAAGGTGAACCGTCACTGAAAGTAACCGTGCGGAGAATCACCCCTTTCCTGCTGGCCTATTTGCAGTATCGCTTCTCGGCCTTTTGGCTAAGATCAAGTGTAGTATCTGTTCTTATCAGTTTAATATCTGATACGTCCCCTACCCGGGGACCATATATTAAATTGATTTTTGGAATAGGGAGATGGAATAGGGGCTTGCTCCGTCCACTCCACGCATCGACCTGGTATTGCAGTACCTCCAGGAACGGTGCACCCCCTCTATATGTTAAACATAAAAACACTTCTGATAAGTCTTCTTTCCAACCGACATAACTCACTAAATGTTATGTCGGAATTGAAGCTAAAGTTCTATGATCACAAGTATCACATGCATGCTTATGTGACACAAGGGTATTGCAAAACGTACTTACTTCATTGCACTCTCATTGGTTGAAAACATAATATATAACATTTTCTGAATAATAACACTATTTGGTTAAATCTGTTTTTTCTTTTCTTTGGTTCTTCTCATTCCCTAAAAGTAAAAGCATGTTGCTAATGTGGTTTCCCAACTTAAGAAACACTGTGTATTTTACCCACTTTCAATGTGACTGTATTTTAGATATTTATTTATTAATTCTATAGTGTTAACCGTAGAAGCCAATCTTATTAAATAATTAATATAAGGTCAAAAAAATCTAATGCAGTCAAATACAATTGTCCTGTAGTAGCTACGCGTTTTAAAGGTCCCATGTCATGCCATTTCTACTGATCATAATTCCATTGTTGAGGTATACTAAAATACATTTATATTGTGCAATTTTCGAAACTCACATTGGTTTCTCATACAGCATCTCTGTAAAGTATGTGTATTCACTCTCTGTCCTAAACGGCTTACCCCCCCAGGGTAATTTGGGAGTGATGGCTAATTGGCCAGAATGACATCATGTGACTAGAAATAACTTAAACTGGCTTCACTATCATAACATTTTCTAACAAAAATGTCCGGCTGATGCATTTGTTGGTGCTGAATGTTACTATACATGAAAAAGCGTGTTTTCATTTGTTGCTGAGTTTAAAAAAACAAAACAAGGTGAACCGTCACTGAAAGTAACCGTGCGGAGAATCACCCCTTTCCTGCCGGCCCATTTGCAGTATCGCTTCTCGGCCTTTTGGCTAAGATCAAGTGTAGTATCTGTTCTTATCAGTTTAATATCTGATACGTCCCCTACCCGGGGACCATATATTAAATTGATTTTTGGAATAGGGAGATGGAATAGGGGCTTGCTCCGTCCACTCCACGCATCGACCTGGTATTGCAGTACCTCCAGGAACGGTGCACCCCCACTATATGTTAAACATAAAAACACTTCTGATAAGTCTTCTTTCCAACCGACATAACTCACTAAATGTTATGTCGGAATTGAAGCTAAAGTTCTATGATCACAAGTATCACATGCATGCTTATGTGACACAAGGGTATTGCAAAACGTACTTACTTCATTGCACTCTCATTGGTTGAAAACATAATATATAACATTTTCTGAATAATAACACTATTTGGTTAAATCTGTTAATTTTTCTTTTCTTTGGTTCTTCTCATTCCCTAAAAGTAAAAGCATGTTGCTAATGTAGTTTCCCAACTTAAGAAACACTGTATTTTACCCACTTTCAATGTGACTGTATTTTAGATATTTATTTATTAATTCTATAGTGTTAACCGTAGAAGCCAATCTTATTAAATAATTAATATAAGGTCAAAAAAATCTAATGCAGTCAAATACAATTGTCCTGTAGTAGCTACGCGTTTTAAAGGTCCCATGTCATGCCATTTCTACTGATCATAATTCCATTGTTGAGGTATACTAAAATACATTTATATTGTGCAATTTTCGAAACTCACATTGGTTTCTCATACAGCATCTCTGTAAAGTATGTGTATTCACTCTCTGTCCTAAACGGCTTACCCCCCCAGGGTAATTTGGGAGTGATGGCTAATTGGCCAGAATGACATCATGTGACTAGAAATAACTTAAACTGGCTTCACTATCATAACATTTTCTAACAAAAATGTCCGGCTGATGCATTTGTTGGTGCTGAATGTTACTATACATGAAAAAGCGTGTTTTCATTTGTTGCTGAGTTTAAAAAAACAAAACAAGGTGAACCGTCACTGAAAGTAACCGTGCGGAGAATCACCCCTTTCCTGCCGGCCCATTTGCAGTATCGCTTCTCGGCCTTTTGGCTAAGATCAAGTGTAGTATCTGTTCTTATCAGTTTAATATCTGATACGTCCCCTACCCGGGGACCATATATTAAATTGATTTTTGGAATAGGGAGATGGAATAGGGGCTTGCTCCGTCCACTCCACGCATCGACCTGGTATTGCAGTACCTCCAGGAACGGTGCACCCCCACTATATGTTAAACATAAAAACACTTCTGATAAGTCTTCTTTCCAACCGACATAACTCACTAAATGTTATGTCGGAATTGAAGCTAAAGTTCTATGATCACAAGTATCACATGCATGCTTATGTGACACAAGGGTATTGCAAAACGTACTTACTTCATTGCACTCTCATTGGTTGAAAACATAATATATAACATTTTCTGAATAATAACACTATTTGGTTAAATCTGTTAATTTTTCTTTTCTTTGGTTCTTCTCATTCCCTAAAAGTAAAAGCATGTTGCTAATGTAGTTTCCCAACTTAAGAAACACTGTATTTTACCCACTTTCAATGTGACTGTATTTTAGATATTTATTTATTAATTCTATAGTGTTAACCGTAGAAGCCAATCTTATTAAATAATTAATATAAGGTCAAAAAAAATCGAATGCAGTCAAATACAATTGTCCTGTAGTAGCTACGTGTTTTAAAGGTCCCATGTCATGCCATTTCTACTGATCATAATTCCATTGTTGAGGTATACTAAAATACATTTATATTGTGCAATTTTCCAAACTCACATTGGTTTCTCATAGAGTGGCGAAGTCACGCCCACTTACTTCCGGGTAATGGGACCTTATTTCGGAAAAATTATGCATTGAAGTCAATGGGGAGAGAAAACTTATCTTTCGATCCCGTTTGAATTGTGCCATGAATTACACATATGATGTTTGTCAATCTTAAAAAAATAATTTCCATGTCAAAAAAAGTCAGTTTGTCGTAAAACTGTTGAAATATAAGACTATGAAAAATACGTAACTAGAAAGACTACAAATCCCAGACATCGCGTAAGTGATGTCACAATTGTTTTCCTCCACCATTCAGATACCTAAGATCAGCGCAATATAGATATAATCTATCTATATGGCGCTGGCTAAGATAAGATAACTTTAACAAGATGCCTGTGTGCTTAGTACCACGTTGTTATTATACCAGCAATGGGTCTTGCTCGTTCTTTTGCTTCCCGTCTGATGAAAGGACCAGGAGTGGCTTGATTAAGTTAGCTACCTAGCTAGTAGCTAGCACGTTAGTTAGCATTACAGCCTTGTCATTTTTATTAGCCTTAACATGAAGTAACATTAAGTAACCCAAAATGTTAAACGGTAAGAGTAGTAGTCATATTTCGTGAACCCTTTGAATAGTACTGTCACCGGTGTGATCATTCTATAAGACACCATTTAATTCCGGGGGAGAAATGCTAATGCTAACGTTAGCATCGGCGATCTTCTCTACTTCATGCTATCTGCACAAATGGTTGACATTAAACATTAAAACGACCAGGCAGTTCAGAGAGAATCAAAGGAAGGCAGGCAGGCAGCTTTGCATGACATTCTTCAGGACGTGTTTCATTGTGGTGATAGTGAGGATAGTCAATCGTTTTGTTGACAAGACAGTAGTGACGGCCATCTTGGTGACGTGTGTTGTTGACCAGAGATGTAGTTCATTGAGCGTTTCACACAAACAAATGTGTTACTTCACAGTTTTACGACACATTTTTTTTTTTTTTTGACTTGCAAAACTATCTTTTAAATTGACAAACATCATATGTGTAATTCGTGGCACAATTCAAACGGGATCGAAAGATAATCTTTCTCTCTCCATTGACTTCAATACATAATTTTTCCGAAATAAGGTCCCATGGAGGTCCACCGGAAGGGGAGGGACTTCGCCACTCTATACAGCATCTCTGTAAAGTATGTGTATTCACTCTCTGTCCTAAACGGCTTACCCCCCCCAGGGTAATTTGGGAGTGATGGCTAATTGGCCAGAATGACATCATGTGACTAGAAATAACTTAAACTGGCTTCACTATCATAACATTTTCTAACAAAAATGTCCGGCTGATGCATTTGTTGGTGCTGAATGTTACTATACATGAAAAAGCGTGTTTTCATTTGTTGCTGAGTTTAAAAAAAACAAAAAAAACAAGTTATACCGTCACTGAAAGAAACAGTGCAGAGAATCACTACATTCCTGCCGGCCCATTTGCAGTATCGCTTCTCGGCCTTTTGGCTAAGATCAAGTGTAGTATCTGTTCTTATCAGTTTAATATCTGATACGTCCCCTACCCGGGGACCATATATTAAATTGATTTTTGGAATAGGGAGATGGAATAGGGGCTTGCTCCGTCCACTCCACGCATCGACCTGGTATTGCAGTACCTCCAGGAACGGTGCACCCCCTCTAAATGTCTAATATAAAAGGGAGGCGTGTGGCGCAGTGCATACCTTGGTATGGGGACCAGATGGTCACAGGTTCAAACCCCACTGCAGTCAGCATGTCGTTGTGTCCCTGGGCAAGACACTTCACCCCACATTGCTCCTGTGGGGATTGGCCACAGTATTGAGTATGTAAGTCGCTTTGGATAAAAGCGTCTAACAATTAACATGTAATGTATATTGTATGTGTAACTACTGAATTGGGGATAGAAGCTCTATTGTGTGCACAATTTTACCACATGTGACACGAGGATATAGTGTAACTTGCTGACTTCAATGTGTCAAAACATACTAATATACTTTCCAAATCAGAACACTGTTTTAATTAGTTTATTTTCTCTTTGCGTGTGGCACATGCATGTGTGGAGCAAGAGTGTGTTTGTGGAAGTGATTAGGAGTAGCAGCAGTATAAAGTCACACATATAAACAACGGCCTCCCAAGAACATTGAATGTTGGATTACATTTACTGATCCTGAAATCCCCCCCCCCCCACGTATTTAAATAACTATTTCATGTATTTTAACAACTCAGGTTTAGTTATTGTTTAAACTGTTAGAAACATGTGTTTATTCTTGAGGCTGCGGTTTGTGATGCTGCTTTTCCTTTATATTTGCAGAACCAGCATTGTTACCACTCCAGACCACTAGATGGCAGTACCAGGAATGTCAGTTGCCCGCCACCAGCAGCAAACAAAGAAAGAGGAAGTGTTTGAAATGTGAGTTGTGGGGGTTGTAAATGTGGGACATGTGTTTTTTGCATTTTCTCTAAATTATAAACGTGAATCGAACAACTTTTCAATACAGTATTATATATTCTCGATTTATCTAAACTTACTGGTTGATTGTTGCTCAATTGTTGGAGTAAAATTGATACAACTAGTGATTTTTAGTTGTCTTTTGATATGGAAATGCAGCATTGCATCATGGGATATGCCCCTGATATATATCCAACTTAAATGTAAAGATCTTTGTCATCTTATGTACAAAATACAGTATTTTGTGTTAAATTCCCTGTAGATAATCCTCCTCTTTTTATATGTCTTTGTTTTTGATAGTCTCTATATTTGCAGCACCATTATTCAGTGTATCATGCGTGTGAATGAGCTGCCTGTGTCCGATGTGTACAACTCATACTTACCTGGCAAGGGAGATACCATGATCAAGAAGGTGGTTCACCCAGGGCGAGGCTTGGCCATTGCACACCGGTCGAGCTGACCTCTGCGAATTCCTCAAATGTGGGAATCTCGATTGCATAATTTGTGGTAGTGGGGGACTGCGTTCGCGCTCTCCCCTGATAACTTGTAAAATGACAAAAATATTCTTAAAAGTCTGCAACACATTTTGAGAATCAATGTAACTGTAATGGCGCATTTCCACTACAGCGCGGGGCTCGCTTTAAGCGTGCCGTGCCCGGCCCGTTTTTTAGTTGCGTTTCCACTTGGCGTAGTACCGGCTAGCGGGTACTATTTCACATTTTTTCTGGCCCCATAAAATCGAGGTTCTTCCTCAACAACCAGGCTGAGTCGGGCTGAGTATGCTAAACTAGAGAGAGAATCGCTGGCAAGGGGGCTAAAACTACAACAAAATGAACATATTTGACCGTGATTTAATTGTAATACACGTTTCAAAATGATGCCGAAGTAACAACGTACTGATACCGGTTAGTAAAAACCATGAATTAATGCTTTGACAAGTCTGCAGACAGATGGCAGGCGAAAAACCTTTTAAAATGCATGTTTTTCTGTGGTTCTCATTGAAGATGACGCCACGGCTCCGTTATTATAGTTACTGCCCCAGCCACTAAACTGTAATGGAAACGCAGCATAAAGTGAGCCAGTCCCAACAAGGCCTAACGAGGCCTAGCCATACCGAGCGAGGCCCTGTAGTGGAAATGCGCCATAAGAGCTTTGTGAGTTTTACTAAATCGAAGTTGACGTGTCAGTGAAAGTGGGAATCCAAATTTGAAAAAGTCTGCGCTACTATTTAAAAGACTTAGGAAGTTCAGTTAGTGTTATTAATATTCACTCACACATATATCATTTAAATAAAATGTGATTTTGAATTCTGAGGCGAGATCATGCTCTTGTACAAGTCATTTACAAAAATATTGTTTAATATAAACCTTTGCAGAAAAATACCCGGGACACTTTGGCTCCTACTCCTGAGGGCTCGTCCATCACCTTGCGCTTGTACAACGTAGATCTTGCCCAGGATGAAGGACTGCACTCGAGTAGCCGGTATTTCCGGCATTGTTGGGGGGACAGACCCATCCAGACCAGCAACAGACGGAGTTGCCTGAATGGCAGGCAGTAAGGGTATTGAGGAGGGGCCAGCAATGGCTGGGGTTGGCTGACTGGCAGGCAGGATGGCGCCTGGGAAAAGGGAGGGCAGAGGTCTGGTGATGGATATAAATAACAAGCAGAGAGCACGTCTATATTCCAGTGAGATATTTGGTCACATACTCAAAATGGCTGAGTCTGGGATTTGTCCAGGGTTTTTATTTTTCTTAGTTCGGTAATAACCTGTTTCACGATGGTGTAGCTACTTATTGTTGAAAATAAAAATGATAACACAGCAATTTGGAAAACATTGAAATTACTATTTCAGAGTGCCCGTGGGGTTTTAAAAAGTATTAAAAGTTGATAAATCAATTTAGCGAAAATTAAGGCTATTAAAAAGTATTAAACGGCATTTTCCAAGGTATTACATTTTGTAACTTGTTTTCAATAAGTATATCAATTGTCCAAAGAGGTAGTATTCTACAGTCTGCCTGAATGTAATCATTGCGTAGGTGTGTAGTGTGATTCTGTGTAGTTTATTTATGGCATCCCGTTGGATTTGACGTCATCTAAACAGGACATCGCACGCTCACTGCTTGATAGCGTGCGAAGGTCCGTTTACGCCGGTTGTTAAACACCATCGTTATGGGGAAATGCAAGTTTGCGTCCAAATGGTTGGAAGATAAGGAAGAAGGACAATCAATACTGTATATATTAAATGTGCCAATTTAACCGATTAAAACTCGAAGTGGCGATGAGGTCTTAAAATGTATGGAAAGGGTCTTAAAAAACGTCTTAAAAGGTTTTACATTTGACTTCAGGATTCCTGTATTTACAATATTGTCATTGCTCCAACGCGTCAACAACAGATGTGAAATGTTGGTAACTGCTGTAGACTGTGTTCTTCTCCAGACCCTTTGAAGAAGACATCATTTTCACAGGGCAGAAGACTTTGCGCCTGTACTTTTTATGACCCTGGGTAGGTTGGCCACAGCACGTGCACGTCGGCAGCTTTTGAACCCGGGGCACTTTGTCTCTTACTCCCGAGGGCTCGTCTGCCGCCTTGCGCTTGTAAAGCGTGGACCTCGCCCAGGATGAGGGAATGCACTCGGTAGGCATTGTCGGGTGGACGGACACACCCAGACAGCAGGGTCCAGGCAGGGTGGGGCCAGGAAAAAGGGAGGGCACGGGTGGTCTGGCGACGGTGCTGGTGGCAGGCAGTATGGGACGTCCAGCAGGCATGGTGGGCCTTGTGGAGGGGCCAGCAATCGCCCAGGTTGCTGCTGCGGATGGAGAGGGGGAGGGCAAAGGTCTGGGGACTGGGGTCGGTCTTACCGGCCGTGGCCGTGGCAGTGACACAGGTGGCGGCAGTGATGTCTGAGGGTGTGACAGAGGCAGGATCATGTCCCTCCTTCCCTTCAACAATTTTGTCCCTGCCGTGCTGGGTGTTGGCACGTACTGCATCAGGGGGTAGTCTGGTGGAGGGAGGACTGCTGGCTGGTGTGGGGCTGGAGGCAAGTCGGCAGAGGAAACCGAAGTGGTTTTTGATAGCATCGCCGGCTGATTTGTCGCACGCAGGTTGAGGAGGCGCTCTTGAGCCCGGATAAAGTCCCGCACCGTCTTGATGTTTATTTTTGGCAGAGGAAAGCCAGCTTTGCACAGGATCGGGTCGTCCACCAAAAGCCGGTGCTGGATCCTCTCGTACGCCTTTAAGACGGTGGTCTTCTCGGGGCTCGTGCGCGAACCCTGCGGCGACTTCAGCCACAGCAGTTTGACCAGCGTGTACATGAGCCTATTGTTCTGCGCGCTAATGTCTTGCTGTGCCGGTGCATAGCGAATGCCCATCTTCACACGCTGTATTACAGCAGCATCAACCAGGTTGTGGCGCTTAGTGCGGCAGTACAGGGTGTTGCCCCAGTGCGTCCTGTATAACTCGTTGAACTGCTGCTGACGTTTGTCGTGGTCCTCCACTTTAGTCCAGGCAGCCAGGATCGCGTTCCTCTGCTCTGTGACAAGGGACAGCTTGTCCTCTACGAGCCCAATGTCCACCAGCAGTGAGCAGAACCTCTCCAAGTTTGGGTAGCCGGGAAGAGGGTTTTGACTGCAGGCATCCTCCTGTTAAAGAAATGACATCGAAAATGTGGTAAATTGAAATGGATACATTGCCCAGCAATCAGTGCATTTTAATTTCATTCTAGCAGACACCAAGTCACGTACAAAAGCGGGCGGGTTGAAAGTGGAGGTTTCGTCACTGACGAGTGTGATGTGGGGCAGGATGGCATCCAGCACATTGATCCCTCCGGGTGCAGCTATGGTCACGAGGAGTGTGGTGTACAGGTCCTTGTGATGGAGGTACTCCTCGACGTGATTCTCCTGCACCTACCGCCACACCTTCTCCATTGTGTTCCCTTCGGTCCTGTCCCTCAGAAGGCGCACGACATTCCTGTCTACGCCACGCTTGTAAGTAGAGTCACAATTAATATGTGACAACTTTCAATTTTTTTTTTAAATGCACACACATTATAGCATGTTAAAGTATAGTATAGTTTGGTATAGAATGTGAAATAAACACACATGGTGGTAAGGACGGCAGGAAAGATGGCTTGGTGAGCCTCGCTGAGCTGGGATAGGATGGCGTTATCCCACGCAAGCCACCGGCCCACTGAGACACCCTCTTTGATCCTGGCTGCCTTTGTACAGGGTCCGCAGGACAGCACCTCTGTAATCACTGTGTACCAGCCGGACACATCACAGATGAGACGTACCTATAAAATACACAGGGAAATCAAAATGAAGGCCAGCATAAAACTTTCAGTGCCCATTTCATACATAGAAACACATGGTCACATCCAGAGACGTTGTAATAAGGTGAAATGTTACAGGTGTGGCGACATTGGCCACGTTGCGGTGCATTGCAGTAAAGCCAGTGAGACTAACTGCTACAACTGAGGAAAGACAGACCACCTGTTAACAGTTTGCCCCGAAGAAAAATGCGCATAACTTATTTTATTTTCCAGATTGATGGTTGGTTGTATGATTGTCACAAATGTTTTAGTTCGATAGCGGTGTTTTGTATAAGGCTTTGTTAAAGTTTGGCCGTGACTGTAATCAGGGTTCCCGCGGGGTCTTAAAAAGTCTTAAATTTGATAATATGAATTTAAGGCCTTAAAAAGGTCTTAAATATGGCCAAAAAAATAAGAAAGGTCTTAAATATGATTTAGAAGGTCTTAAAAATGATCGGATTTGAAAGGTACTTCTGTGTTGCGATAGCGTCTAAATGTGTTTTGGGGGAAATGTCCGGGCTGCAAAGTAACCAGTATGGTAATAGCCTTTCAGTTCCCCCCAACAATTTGTATTGAAATAAATCAACATGGAACCAGTAATCACTAACTTTGTTTCCGCCGGCCCCTTATTGGAGAACACCCAGCTAGTAACCTAGCAACCAAGCTTCAGCTAGCGGCAGACAGAAACTCATGTATCTTCGAATAAATATGGGGAAGTGTAAGTTCAACCGTTATTGGTTGGAAAACATCGAATTTAGTGCTTGGTTGAAACCAGGGGAGGGGAACGTGTTTAAAGCCCGCTGCACCTTTTGCAAAATAAATTAGCGTTTGTTTGGCTAATGTAGCGTTAGCTAGTGCAGCGTTAGCTAGTGCAGCAGCTCCCGCAACAACACATTGGGACCTCCGGGCAACGTTTGGGTCTACGTCAACCCTAAAAGCGGAGGTGCTGTAGACGCTAAATACCGTAGCTAAACACCAATCATACAACAGCAACGATGAAAGATTGTAGCCAAGGCAGCAGAGCTCTGAATATAGCTCTTGTCACTCTCTCTCACACACACACACACACACACACACACACACACACACTAGGGCTGCTCGATTATGGCAAACATCATAATCACGATTATTTTGGTCAATAATTGATATCACAATTATTAAATACAATTATTAATTGACTTTGAAAACATCCATCTATTGAACTTTAAAACAAATAATAATTTGGACAGTATCTTTTTAACTGTTGATTACCCTGAACGTATAATTCAACTGAAAAAATAAATTAAATAAATGATACATTTAAATAAATAATATCAAAAATAATAAATACCAATAAACAAGATCAACAAATATTTTGGAGCGCACTTCCACAAGCTACTAAACATATACAAATATGATAAATAAAAATAAATTAGACTAAAATAAATTAATCAAATATGTTGTAGTGCACTGTCACAACCTAGCAAAGCAAAATAATCGATTATGTTGTTTCGTAATTGCGATTAAAATATGATTAATTGCACAGCCCACACACACACACACATACACACTTTTTGTCTAACACGCTAACACAGTTCTGTACTGTTATGCTGTTATGTTCAGTCATTGTTCTTATGTTGAACATGAATACATTTATGGGACGTATTTCTTCTTTCATAGCAATTTTCCTTCATACTTTCTTGCCGTGAAATAGGTCTTAAATTCTATTCAAAGTGGTCTTAAAAAGGTCTTAAAAAGTCTTAAATTTGAGTTGGCGAAACCTGCAGGAACCCTGTGAATCATTATTTCATATATATTAACAGCTCATGTTTAGTTATCGTTCTTAGAAAGATGTGTTTATTTTGGAGGCTGCGGTTTGTGATGCTGCTTTTCCTTTATATTTGCAGAACCATCATTGTTACCACTCAAGACCACTAGATGGCAGTACGAGGAATGTCAGTTGCCCGCCACCAGCATCAAACAAAGCAAGAGGAAGGGTTTGAAATGTGAGTTGAGGGGGTGGGGGTTGTAAATGTTGGACATGTGTTTTTTGCATTTTCTCTAAATTATAAACGTGAATCAAACAACTTTTCAATACAGTATTATATATTCTTGATTTATCTAAACTTACCGGTTGATTGTTTCTCAATTGTTGGAGTAAAATTGATACAACTAGTGATTTTTAGTTGTCTTTCGATGTTGAAATGCAGCAGTGCATCATGGGATATATATCCAAGTTAAATGTAAAGATCTTTGTCATCTTACGTACAAAAGACAGTATTTTGTGTTAAATTCCCTGTAGATTATCCTCCTCTTTTTATACGTCTTTGTTTTTGGTAGTCTCTATATTTGCAGCACCATTATTCAGTGTATCATGCGTGTGAATGAGCTGCCTGTGTCCGATGTGTACAACTCATACTTACCTGGCAAGGGAGATACCATGATCAAGAAGGTGGTTCACCCAGGGCGAGGCTTGGCCATTGCACACCGGTTG